AAGTTATGGCTCGGGTTGAGAATCTGGCGGCGTGTAGTGACGCGTCCGCCATGTATTCGGAGGCAGCCACTAACTTACCCAGGTTCTGGTGTGTTCGTACCTCCTCCAGAGGAACTGTGGCCTGAGGCCACAGATAAGGCCACAGATAAGAGAGGTTCTGGCAAAGAAGGAGGTGGATGTAGCTGCCCTTACCGCCCATGCCGAGACCTGGTGAGACCTGCGGAAAGAGAGCTCAGATTTTCTGTTCTCCGCTTTCAAGCTTTCAGCCATGTCCCCTGACACCGTGGAAGAGGAAAACAGTGGCGTTAGAGGTTCATCTATAACCGGGACCTCCAGAAGTTCTGACAAGGCAGAGGTGACATTAAATACTCTTGTCTGTTCCCCCCCGGTGTGGGGAGGGTGCCAGGTATTCCCCACTGCTTTTGAATAGTATTAAGAAAGGAGGACAGGGGATGTGCCTTTGTGTAACAATAGGCTTGGAGAAAAGCGGATTTGTGTCTTGGCTGATGGATGGTCCTGGTTGAGGCTCCTGATCAGAGCCAATTTTGGCAGAGGTACTTGCCTTGTAGAGCAGTGATTTGAACAACGCTGGGTCAAATAGGCCCACAAAGGGAGGAAGGTCCGGAGAAGGTTCCTCATCCTCCGATAACTGTATGCCCATTGGTTTGTACTCCTTGGAGCGCGACTCTCTGCCTTGAGAGGACCGGGCGGAAGAAATAGAACCCGGATATTCTGGGGCTCCCACCTGGGAGAAATAAGATGGGGTCATTGATGCCACAGATTCAGGTCTGGGCCTCTGGTGGAGTGAGGAAGCCATACCATGGGCAACTGCCTGGGCGATTAGGGCCTGTAGTTGTTTTGGCCATGCCCCTTGAGATTCCGTGGGTCAAAGCCCAGCTGCTGTGGGCGTGAATGTAGCCTCTGGCCCCGACTGAACCCTGGGCGGGGGAGGAACCCATTGAGGGTGTGGTCCCTGGTTGAGGGCAATCATCTCCTCCTGTCTGGGTCTGGAAAAGGGAATTGGCCGGCGTCCCCTTCCGGAGACCAGGTCTGTTGGACAATTGAACTGGAGGGGGCGAGTTGTGGGCCAAAAACTGAATCCTCATCTGGAACCAGGGAGGCATGGCCTGTTCCCCTTATGCTCAGTTTCTGAGCTTTGGAAAACTGTTTTCCCAAGGCCTGGTGTCTCCTGCTGGCCTCCTTCTCAGCCACCTTAGAAGGCCTCTTGCCTGAAATGGCCTTGGCCTTGGTCTTGAGTTTTCCCACAGCCTCCAGTTTGGAGATCTTGCGCTTCTTTTGGACGGGAGTGCCGGGGGCACCATGAGCGGTCTGAGGTGCCGCGTTGTCTGCCATCGCAATGGAGATATCTCAGTGGTGTTCTGAGAGGGATCTCAAGGTAGAGGAGCAGAGTACTGATTTGTGACTGTGTGTCACCATGCTGGAACCAGCAAATACTCTAGGTAATGGTGGCTGCAGGACCAACTTAATGGACTCTCACACACCCACAACGCTCCTGGGTCAGTGCACTGGTCAAGGCTTACTGTGACGGCAAAACCAACAGGTGGTGACAGCCAGCACACACATAACTCACTTAATGGTGGCAAGATCACCTCAGTGATAACAGCTGATGCACTAGGCCTAGTTGGTGGCGGCAAGGCCAAGAGGCATGGCCAGCACACTTTGCTGTTGCGATAAGTAGAGAAGCACCCTGTTGAGGCCTGGGGCTGTATGATGTTACCTCTTGTGAAAGACAATCCACCGTGAGCAACTTGAGCTTGTGCTTCTTTGTCCAGAAATTGAAGTTATTGAGTATCTTTATATGTGTATAAACAGTAGTCTAAAGGCCTGATCTCAATAAGCTGTGAGTACTGTGCAGCCTGAAGGCTGTTACCACAGAAGGCCTCAAGTCCCAATTCCCTATGGAACACTCACAGGGGAAGACCCCCCCCCCCGCTGTTGCTTATTTTTAGTTCTATGGCCCTTGTGGTAATCCTGTTTCCAGCTCCTGTCTGATAATTAAGATTCCGATGCAAGGTTTGATCCTGTCTATCTCTCTCCCTTCAAATTCAAATGAATGTTAGCGACGCCTGAAATGGCGGCCGCTACAAAAAAATCGCCTCAGGAGAGTGAGCGCCAATCAGGAGAACTAGGAGCAACAAAGGGATGCACCCCTTTTGCCAGTTAGTTTCTGGCTGAAGGCAGCAATCCAGCCGTTAGGTGTTACAAGTGGCAGCTGGAAGGACACTAAAAGGATTTTTAGGAAAAAACGGCTCCCCACGCGGTTTTCAAAATGGCGGTCATGCTGAGTGCGACGAAGAACGGGACGGTTGCCAGGGGCTTTCCTGAGCCTGCAGCCCAGTCGGCAAGGCCGATAAACCGGCTGCGCGCTGCGCTGGTCCCAGCGACTGAAAAAATAAAGGGAAACCTGATTTCAGCGATTTAGCCAAATTAAGGAGCTTAAAGCCAAAGCTGCAGCTGAATGGGAGAAAGGGGAAAAACCGCTCAGCACTGATCCCAGCGCTGCAATAAAAATAGAGGATTCACGAATGGGTGAGAACCATACAACCTGAACAATGAAGAATAAGTCTGAGAAACTGGAGCCAAATTTTTTACGTCCTTCTGGGCATCAGACTAAGTCGTGACTAGGTGGTATTCTAGCCCAGGAGAGGCGTGGCACGTTTGACAGACTTAGTCTAATTGGCCAGGAAGACAGAGTTAACCCCATTCATGGATTCTCCATCTTCATGCTGGAGAATGACTTATGACCATTTTCACACTTATGACCATTGCAGCATGCCCAGGGTCATGTGATTTATATTTGGATGCTTGGCAACTGATTCATATTCATGATGGTCACACTGTCCCTGGGTCATGTGATCTCCTTTTGCAACCTTTTGACAAGCAAAAACTTGATGACCCTAGTCAAAAACTTGATGACCCCCCCCAAAAGGAAAAAAGTGATAAAGTACAGGTAGTCCTCGACTTACCCCTGCAGCTTCTGAGGACTCTCTCATAGCAAGTCCTGCGCTGCAATTTGGCTCGTTCCCTCCCCCGCTACACTTGGCTACACAGGGCCGTGTACCACCTGCCAGGTGCCAATGTACCACTGGTGGTACTCTTACCACAGGTTGAAAAGCCCTGTACTAGACAACTCGTGACCTATTGGGTCATCATTTCAGAGATATTTCCTTACCAGGTATCTCATGCCTTCAACAATGGCAGAGATATACTGGAACGTATTGAACGCTTGTGAAAGATATTCAGAGCTATATCTCCTTGAAATTAGCCCATGTTGAAATATTTAATGAAATTTTGTATTGTCATAAACTGCCTTGCAATAATTTTGACATAAAATATTTTATAAAATTTGCCAAATTTCAATTCCATGGGAATAACAGATCCTGTATTTTGTAAGTTAGCCTATCTGAGGTACCCTGGTTGAAAAAGTTTTGCTCTATGATGCACCATTTTGTCAAATTAAAGGTTATGGATATGAGAGTTTTAATAACATACAGATAAATCCTTATTATTGGCAATTAATATTCATGTCTTAATGTACACAAATGCTAAGCAACTGAAATATCCACTGCTTCCCACAGTACTTTTACCTCTAGGTAAGTCAAAAACAGAAGCAGGAACATTTCCTTCCTTGACAGCAAATAGGATGACAAAACTGAACCTGTTCTGTAATGAAAACTGCTTAGTGGATTAAACAAACACAAGCAGACAAAAGAACAGGTTCATTTGACCAGGCAGTCAAAGTTCATTAATACCATTTATATAATCTTTCTAGCTTCAATTAACTCAGCAAGGTATTTCACAAAATGATAACAATCTCATAAATTGAATAAAATCTCATAACTATTAACAATATGGTCTATTTTTAGCAGGTCACCTAGTACAACTTAATAGCTTGTGAGAAAATGGAAAAGTTTTTTTAAAAAATTTTGGTCTGACTACACATGCAATTTTCATGTAATAAAGTATATTCAACTAAGATGAGCTGTTCATTTTAGCAAATGTTCCTCTCTTATTTGTTGTATAAAAATTTGTCCTATTTGATAAGGTAGTGTGATGCTAATATTCTATTTGGCTAAATATGCACTTCCACAAAGGTGTGAAGAATAGGGGATTGCAGAAACTCTCAAAACACAGACAGATGAAAATGTCATCTACTAATTATTCTGGACTTGTGATATCATTGACCAAAATTTTTGGATTGTTCCTTTGCCTGAGAATTATAGTTCAGTCATTTTATTTAAATACCATATTTCAATCATTTTGTATGATTTAAGGGAGAGATAATTGTTTGGTAGCTTCAGCTCATCCTCAATTGGAGAGGGAGATGATTCTTACAGTAGACAAGGATAAAATTTTCTGTTTTATATCCCCCCCCCCTGGTTGATATAGGGACCTTAAACTATTTCAAGCCTGTTTTAGGATGTAATGCATTTAAAATTGTTGGAATCAATCAATCATTCTTTAAAAATGCAAGAAACCACGGAGTAAGGTAATAGCATCACAATACAAATTCTGCATAGAGCTGAACTCCCTATGAAGGAGGCCTGGGAATATTCTGGTCTATAGGCGTAGTCTAAATTATCAGGTTGCTTTCAGATCAGACTCATGTTATTTCCAGGAAAACCCAACTCACATGTGCTTTAATTTCTATTAGCAGGAGATTGGAGATTAAAGTTTTCCTTTTATTTCTTTCAATAAGTTTTAGCAAAAAATGCAATAAAGTTAACAAGAGTTTGTGACTTTAAAAAAAATGGAAAATAAGTTTCAGTAGTACTGAAAGCAATGTGGAGGAGTGCCTTACCATGAATGGGGAGAATATGTGCATCAATGGCTTGTTTTCTTCATAATACAGCTAATAAATATTTATTTTTCACTGTTTCAATCTTTATACCAGTTTTAGAATAATAATCAATTGTATGAAGTAAAGGAAAAATGTTGAGTTGAGTAAGGATTGCCACTTGTATAATATGTTTCATTACCTGTTTATAAAGTAACTGCTCATTTTCCCGAGCATAACAGAAGAGAATGTCCGTAAGAATTTTCCTCACATTTTCTTCCTGGAAATACTGCATTTCAGGAAAGCTGATTAACAACAACAACAAAAAAACCCTAATATAAATGATAGAGCTCAAAATGATTTAGGATTACAATAGGTTTCAATTATTCAATTCTTCCTTTTTTACTCAATGAAACTCCAATGAGTATACTACTCATTCAGAGTGCTCTGCCACCATACACAAGAACATTTCTGGTATAGATTATGAATTGATTTATTTATTTTATATAATACCACACTCCATATGGATTCCAGAAGGTGATTTATCTGAGTTAAAGCTAAAAAATAGCAGCGAAGAAGAAATTTCTATGAGATTGCAATGCAGAATTATGGGAGCCTGTTTACAGTAATATGGAAGCAGGTTTAGCAGAAATCAATAGAATGTGCTACAAGAAAAACAAAATCAAAGAATAAAGCAAAAAACATACTGAGAAGATTATTATTCATGTATATCCTCCCATTTTCTCTTAAGTTTCAATCATTCTAATCCTGTCTAGTGAGAAAATATAACACTAAAATTAGAAATGAACAGGGAATTCATTCAGGTGGCAATATGCAACCACCTAAGATACATGCACTAACAGCACTTTTAAAAAAACAAAAAACACATTTTTCCTAAACATACCATGCACTTTGTCAAAGTAATAGTGCAATATTTTTACAATGGCTCTAAAACTAGCAAAACTATCTTTATTCAAATTTTAATTCCCCAATTATAACTTAGATATTTATATAATCTTAAACATTCTGAACTATTCCCCTTTAAAAACAAAAAATACCATCTGCGAATATTTACATGAAAGCATACTCGGATTTTAATTATACATCTAACAGCATAAATATATCAGAAACTCAGCTTCAGTATAGGCACACAATATAAAGCAATAAGAAATGTCAATATTTCCTGGGCATTGTTTTGTTTCTTATGCCTATTAATTCTATAAATAGAAAAAGGTATCATGCTGAGCTGCATTTTAAAAACCATAGGAACTATTTTCTTATCCCAAATTTCAGTATAGAACTATGCTATAATCATAACAGAAAGATACTAGAGAAATAGTAATTGAGCTTAATTGGAATTACTTAATGCAATCAGAGTTCTCTCTCTGACAAAATATTTTCCGGATCTGAATTCTAGCTTTGATAAGTTCCTTAACAGGAATGACCCAGGGCTACGGAGATGAAAGTACATTCACAATGATAATAAGGAATACTTAAAGAAGGAATCTTTGACAGTAGGAAAGTTATCCACAAAAATAGCAATGCTAAATTCCTCTAGATGAATGACATTTCTCACTAATTACACATTACTTTTTATTGATTAAGTGTTAGGAATTACAGAAAATCATCTGTTCAATCTTGTATTATAAACATAATTTAATCACAAGATCTGTGAGTTCCTCTCATTCTTTTTTTATTTCTCACAGAAACTCTTTTAAAAATACATATAATTATATTTTAATGTAACATATAGTACTGATTTATAATAAATCCAATTACATGAAAAGGCAAATTAGAAAATAAAAAATGTTTGGCTATGCAGGATAGGCAATCTGGTGCTCTGAGCAACAATGCATCTGTGGATCTCTCCCAGCATCTCTGCCTCATATGATTTTAATATTCTTTATGTTTGCAAAAGACAGCTAGTGGCTATGTTGCATAAAATGTCAACTTCTATAATAAACTGTAATAAACTCATATAAAATAAAAATGTCTGACAAAAAAAGCTATGGTAAACCAGGGTAGTAAAGAAAAAATAGAAGACTGCAGAGCATTTAACAAAACTTCACTAGTTTATATAGTGGGAAATTGACATCTTATAACTGGAAAATATAGGGTTTAGTGCTACAATATGACCGGTAGGCCAAACTTTTCTTCAAACCCATATAAGTACTGACTGGCAGTGATAGCTATCCACATCTACATAGGCCCAAACTGGGAAACGTATTCCAAAGATATGAAATGTAATTGTAAATTATAAAATATTTAATAATGATGCTTACGTTCGTTTTACATCTTGTTCAATCATTCCTCGAAGTTCTTTGTCCTGAAAAAATTTGTTCCAAAGACTCTGCAAAAGGATAAATTATTATTTGAAAGATGATCAATGATGATAGATATGAAATGGTAGGGTATACAATATCTATGTAGTTGCTAAAAGTCGAAAATAACTTGATAATCAATAGAATAGGCCAGTGGTGGTGAACCTATGGCACGGGTGCCAGAGGCGGCACTCGGAGCCCTCTCTGTGGGCACACGTGCCGTTCCCCAGCCTCGCCTCCCCCCATGACCCCCTCCTCTCCAACAACCCTCCTGAAGGAGAGTCGCCCCTGAGCGTAGCCCACGCGGAGCAGCGTAGCCAAGGATATGGCAATCAGGCAGTGTAGACAAGATTCTGCCCTCACACCCCATCATGCACAGTTGATGCTGCAGGACGCGGGCAGAGGGTGTGACCACAATAGCGCTGCTGGGCTGTCTGGGCGAACTGCGGCGGGCCCTGGAGGTAGTGAGTGGCCCTGCGAGCAGGCGGGGCCAGGGATGGGGGCGGGGGTGGAGCAGGCGCGGGGCCAGTTTTTGGGCACTCGGTCTCTAAAAGGTTTGTCATCACTGGAATAGGCCATCCTATTTTGCACATAGAAATCATTTTTTCTATTTAGACCCTGTCTATTAAAACCAGGGCTTTTTTTGTCATAGCACGCCCAGAAAAGAGTTCCAGCATCTTTTTTGGATGGAACCTTGTAGGGTAGGCAAGGTGGGTTGTATGACATGTGTGAGTCCCAGTACCCCCCCCCTTTTTTTTTTTTTACAAAAAAAACACTGATTAAAACCCAGATAAAACATCTTCTTCAATCAGAGCCACAGCTATGTCTGTCATAACACTTACAATGTTTTTCTGAAAATCAAACATTAAAACCCTGAATTATATGATTTGCAAAAATTGCAAATATCCCCCTGCTGTCTGCTAGAAAGAATGAATTATCTCCAAAGAACAACCTTTGGGATTTTAGCTAATAAACTGCCTGCTATTATTACAATTTTAAAGTATGTCTGCACATGTACTGTACATGCATGTATGTATGTGCATCCATACTGCATCCATATATGTATATCTATATATTTATGTAGATATATATGTGCCTTTTATCTAATCCTTTCTTCCAGCTGCTGATACTGTTGCACAATTGTTTTGTCCTGGAATAAAACAGCATGACTGTTTTGTTCAGGAACATTTATCTGTAATTTTAGCTATAAATTTTTTTATTTTAATATTTCAGATTTTGATTTTCCTAAGCTTTTTACCACAGTTGTAATATATTAGCTATTCTAATTTTAAAATGATGCTTAGTGAGAGTGCAATAGTTTTAAAACATTTTAAAAATGTTTACTTATTATCATGAGGCTAGATTCTACCATTATCATAACACCCTTCCTTCCTTCCCTCTCTCTCGCTTACATCAATGTGAGCAAAAATTAAATTTTCTGTAAAACACTGTGACTCTTAACTGATCAGATTCACAGATGACATCACTGTATAAATATGGTTCATGTTCTTCAATGCAGAAAATCATACTGTACTACAGAATCTCCAACTGGATCTACATCACAACAAGAAATTGAAGGCTTGTTGTAATCTTATTATAATCTCTTATGTGGCAAATATAATAGCCTTAATAACGCCTAAAAAGAATTATAGCAAAGGCTTGAATATAATTTTATAAAGTTTGTACGGCTTTCTGTTTGTCTTTCCTTACTCACATTCAGTAACAGGAAAACTGTTTAATATTATTCTTTTTATTCATTGACTATTGTTGTTATTTAAAAAGACAAAATATATTTCATTGGTAAGAATGAAAACTTGCTCAGTAGTGGTGTTAGGTTCTAAAATTAAGCAAATGGTTTCAGTTGCTGAAAAACAACAAAAAGGTTAAAAAGTTATCAAATGTTTCTGGTTACATGTCATTTTTATAGTAATAAATTGCTATAAATGCAATCAATCTCTATCTCCATCTCTCTAATATGAAACACTATTCAACAGGCAACACACCAGCGTTATTGATTACACTTCATATTCACTAGAATAATTAATCATAGTATATTCAGGTTTTTTTTAAAAAAAAACCTGCTGAAATGTTTAAATACAAAAGCTGATGACTAAATTTATTTTAAATGAATAAGAACAGGTGGCAACTCTGAGAGAATGAAACAAAGTCCTTGCTCTGATCTCTTGCTCATCAAGGCTCTATCAGTAAAAAATGAATACAGAGCAGAGAATCTTCATCCCTGTTTTCTCTTTAAGGGCTGGCACATCAAGGGCATTTGATTACTTCAATAGTAGACTTCAAGGGAAATTTGAAGAGCATGATCATAAAGAACTCCACTATTCTAAAAATGAAAACTTTATATATAGCCCACATACCACTTTTATTTATCCTAGCTAAAGATGACATTTAATAGTGATATAATAGTAATAATGAGTGGGTGGATGGATGGATGGCCTGATGGAAATAAATGGGAAGAAATTGGTTCAGTTATTTTGATTCTGAGAAGATGGAGATACAGCATCAGTAATGAACTGTAACAATAATTATATTCCAATTTCTAAAAGAATATTTTAAAAAATGAGTTGCACCTGCTATAAGTGGATATCTATTACTGAATAATTCCCTCTAAATAGCCATAACAAATTCTAATGTTAATAGCTAAAGTTACAAATAATTTCAGCTAAAATATTTCAAAATTGACCTTGGTAATTTTCACAAGTTTAGAACACTGAATATATTACAGCTTGGTATGTTTTTTCTTCTTAGTCCTTATATGCATAGAGGAAGTCCTAAAAGTCCTATTCTTATCTAAAGTTTGAAAGTTTTGAAAATATTTAAATTCTTGTTAAATGTGTGAATCTGCAATATCTTCATTTAAGAATAAATTTTCAAAAAGAAAATAGATTCTTTTCCTAGAGGGGGAAATACGTTTATCTGCCACACTACAATTCAAAATACTTCCAGTCTTAGTCACTATATGGTCAATGTGACACTACAAGTTGAACAATTAGAAAACACTGGGATGCAATATTTTTAGTATGAAAGAATATAAAGCTGTAAGTTTTTGAAAACACATAATAGTAAAAAAATAATAAAAATAGTAAAAAAACCCCCTTCTATGCAGATGTTTCTTAACTATGACAAGATTTAAATTGTGATACTCCGTCTTCCTTTTAAAAAGTAGTGAAAAACATTCCTATCCTTAGGGATAGTTCTACTGCTCTAATAATTGAAAATCTGGAATAGTATGCGTATAGGATGCTAGTAGGCAAAATAATTCCATAATTCTACTATTTGTTCAAATATCTAAACTATAGGCATTTAACTGTTGATATAAAACTGCCCTTTTAATTTCTTTTGAGAACCAAAGATATAATTGTAGATTTTTTATTTATTTATTTTTTTATTTATATTTGGATTTATATCCCGCCCTTCTCCCGTAGGACTCAGGGCGGCTGACAATCTATTTAAAATACATACAAAACAATACAAATTTAAAATTAATTAAAAGGAATATTTAAATATTTGTCGAATTTTAAAATATAATTAAAACCCCCCTAAAAATTACCCTAGGCCAGTCCTGCAAGCTGGAATAACCANAGCTCGCGCAGCAGCGGTGTCACGTGGGAACGCCGAGTCCCCCCCAACACCGCCCGCGCGGCCGCATTTTGGACCAGCTGGAGCCTCCGGGTGCTCCTCAAGGGGAGCCCCATGTAGAGAGCATTACAGTAGTCCAGGCGGGAGGTGACAAGTGCGTGAGTGACCGTGCGTAGGGCGTCCCGGTCCAGAAAAGGCCGCACCCAGTCGGAGTCCAAATATGAGGAATTATAAATATCTTGCCTAATAAAAAACCAAATTATTTACTTATTTTACCAGTACTACAAGGAATAGTGTTATTCTATATTTTACAAAATTCTTTTAGACAACTGCTTTTCTTTAATGTACATCACTGTCAAGACAGCATTTTTTATTTTATTTTTTTTAAATCTAATTGCAGAATTCATCCTGAACAATTTCTATTAATTCTATTTTTGGAAACACTACAATATGAAAATATTACAACTAATGAGAATCAATGGGATCAGGGGAAGTTTTTCACAGTGCAATATATGCCACCAAAACAGAGCTGAAAGGTGGTTCCAAATTTTATAAGTTTTAAATATTGTCATATATAAAGAAAACAGGTAAAGTGCTCAGCATCCCCAAATCTAAGCAAAACAGCAGCTGAAAAACCACAAAGATTCTTCAAAAAAACGTATTAATCTATTATAAACATTTTTTCTTTAATTTGTACACACTATTTACAATTTTAAATACTACTAATCCCAAGTATATTTCTGTAATGTACTGAAAAATGGAAAATTACAAGAAAGTAATTTTGCCACTCTTGCAAAATGGCATATTTATTTGATTTCTCTCAGGTATTTTTTATTGCTTTTGAGGGAACATTTAATCTCAAAGCCAGATTTTTTTTAATACTAAATATGGAGGATTTGCAATAACTTTACCTACTGGAATTATACTTTCAACATAATTATTGGATCGTGTACTATCCAATATATTGTATAGTTCTTTGTATTTCAAAGTCCTGATATGTTGCCTCATTGTGGTAGAAGGTCTGTTCCTTGGATAAGAATAACAAGACTTGATGGCAAGTATATATAGCCCCAGCAGGATCACTCAAGGTATCTTTATTGGGTAACAACAGTGTAGGAAAGTGCTGGAGGCAGTGGTAAAGTATTCTTGTATTTTTTGAGAAAATTACATGGATGGACAGTATAAGTTACTAATGATACAGTGCCAGATGCTAAACCCGAGGTTAGAAGGCAACCAACAAATTATTGAGGAAGAACTGGGACTGGAAATAAATGTTGCTGTATAATTTGACAGTATAGCTTACAAACTGATCATCAAAGTAATCAAAGTGTGCCTGGTTTTATAAACAGTATAACAAAATGCAGCTATGTTCACAGAAACTGCCATGAAGAAAAATACAAAACTGTAAAGATAGAATTACAATGGGTACAGATAATTCTTGCTTACCAAAAGGTAATTGGAATGGGGAACTCAGTTGCCAACTGACATGTGCAATGTAATGTGGACTTATAATAGCAATCTCTGTTGCTGATTTTAGATGAATCCCATATAGTCATAGGATCCCAAAATTATGTGATCACCATTTGTGACTTCCTGCTAGCTTTCCTATTGCTTTTTGGTGGCTGACAACAAAAATTGCAAATTGTGACCTTGCAGGATGCCAGGACGTAATTGGAAGGTAGTTGCCAAGTGTTGGAATCACAATCACATGACTGCAAGGACTACAATGACTGCAACTATAAGAACCTATCATTCAACATTGTTATAAATTTGAATGGTTGCTGAGAGAGTGGACATTAATCAGGATAACCAGTGTATGGAACATAAGAAGTCTTAATATGGGAAAGCTCAATATAGTGCAAGATGAAATAAATCAACCTGCAAATTGAGAACAACAAATTAAACTTGCCTGGAACAAAAACATCAAAAACAAAGAAGGGATGGTATTGCTTTCATAATTAGGAAGTATATTACAAGAACAGTACTTGGCTACAATGCAATCATGACTAACCATGACCAAATACTATCAATTAAACTTCTTGGACAATCAGGATGTCAATATGGTTGACATAATTAATATAGCAATTATCCAGCTTATGCTTCAATCATAGATACAGAAGAAGAGAGGTTGATGAATTTTATGATCAAATTCTATTTGAAATTAACAGCACATGCAATCACAATATGCACTTATGCCTGGAATCTGGAATGCCAAAATTGGAAAAATTAAGGAAGAAAATGTAGTTGGATAATATGGCCTAGGAGACTGAAATGAAGGAGGAGGATTTCTGTGATGGAATGTAGTAAGATAAATTCCCAGGAGGGAGGGGTGTATTCCAAAAGAATAAGAAACAATTCAATCCATATATTTTGTATGAAAGATGATGAAAACAGAGCCTTCTTTATAGTTATCAGAGTATAGGATAGATGTAGATAGTAGAGTGCTTTAATTTGGCAAGATTCTGACTATACGTGTGGAAATAATAAAGAACTCAGCTTGAAACAATCATTATATACATGTGATAAGGCAAAGAAATATTGGAGTAGGATTCATATATTAATGCAGAAAATTCTTAAAGTGAACATAAAGATTAAACCAGAAACTTTCCTTCTGGGTCTAATGGAAAGAGAACTGGAAAAAAAATGGAACTCTGATTTTATATATGGTGATGACAGCAAGATTGCTCTATAAACAAAAGTGGAAGGATGCCTCGATTCCTACCATGGACAAATGGTTACCAAATCTGATGGAATTAGCAGAGATGGCCAAATTGACTGTGCTCATAAAAGAAAAGACCGTAAGTACTTTTGTTTCTACTTGGAAACCACTTCATGACTTTGTGCTTGAGGTGGAAAAAAATGATATTATGATTTTGGGTTTTACCGATTAGACTGATTTGCCGATATAGAAATGGTTAGCGCATACTATAGAAATGTCAAAAGTTGAGATTTGATTTTAATGTCTGATTTTACTGCAACAGAGTTGGAAGTCAATGCCTTTTGTTTCTTTCCCTCCTCTTCTTCACACCTTTTTTGTTTTCCCTTTTTCTACTGTTGTCCCCTACTATTTGCTTTTGTATTTTCACTTTTTTGTTATAAATTAATAAAACTAATAAATTATTATATGTCATTTTTTGTTTTGGGGTCTGAATGATACTCAACTCAAACAGCAAAATCAATGTCTATATATGTGGACATTACAAATGTAATACAGGCAGTCATTGCCCTAACAATGGTAATCGGGACTAGGAATTTCTGTTGCTAAACATCATGATTGTAAACAGTGATGTAACATGACTGTGTCACTTCACAATGTCAGTTCCAGAACTTCTGTTAAGTGAAATGCATAATATTATTAAGCACAACATCATGATATCCCCATTGTGACCTCTTTCCAAACTTTCTCACTGACTTTTGCTTGTCAGAAGCTGGCAGTGAAAGTTGAAAATGACAATTATGTGACCCCATTGGATACTGCAATGTTGTAACTGTGAGCTGGGCAATGAGTGCACATGACTAAAGGGATGCTGATCATAAGTATAAGGACCAGTCATAATTATCACTCATTCAAAACTTACAATGAGTGATGGCACTCATCACTCATTCTAAATGCTGCCTTTATTCCTTTGATAACCTTGCTGGGCTTATATTCTCTTGACATAACTTCTCGGGATTCTTGACTATCCATTCTAGAAACATTCACCACTATGATAAGGTAATACAAATCTTTGGGGTGGGGGGAGCAGGGGTGTGTTGATGGCACATAATCCAACAAAAATAGTTCTTAGTGTTTTATTACTTTTTAATAGACTTGCAATATGTCCAGAGAAACGTGCTACTCAATAGCTTAAATGTTTATATATAAATAATCTTTTAAATCACATTTTAAATCAATTTTTATGTAGTCAAAAAATATAAATGCAACCTAGTTACCCCTTCATCCTGTGAGAGTGGGTTGTTGATCATTACGTCTTGCTGTCCAGCTTTCCGAGGGTTTGTAATATGCTGTATATAGGAAAAAGGCATTACTGTAGCTGCATTTAAAGCATAATGAAAATATGAACTCAAAAATAAATAAATTTCCTTTAAACTCTACTTACAATTTCTTTTACATTATTGTATAATGCTCTTAATTTTATTGTTTTTGTAATCCAATGATTTCTATCAGAAGGTAGAACATTCAGAAATAGCTGTAAAGTCAAACAAAACATGGGTCAGAAAAATAAGCATCATTTTTAACAAGCGTATTTTCTAAAACATATTTCTCTAGAAATGTGAAAGAAATTTATTTACAATGAATGCAAAGTCATTTGAATTCTATTTGTGAAATATTTTTTCATATATCACTAAAATAAATTGCTTATAATGCCTCAACACATTATTTTATGTCAATCATTTTTGTGATTAATGAGGAAATCAATTAACTAATAACAAAATTGAAAATAAGCCGCTTCAACATGTTTATCTGATAGTCAAAGCATATAAAATATCTAACTAGTCTTACCACATATTGTTCCTTTTCTTTTACAATTCAAGTGGTAATTCTAAATGTAGAACTTTAAAGTTTTCAGACTCCTTAAAATAGGGCCCTTACCTTTTTGAAGCAAACATAATCACTTTGTGCTTCCATGCAGTTATGGATTCCAAAATATATAAATTAAATAAAACAACTGATTTATAATATAATTAAAATGAAATAATGTAATGTAATATACCGTGTTTTCCCAAAAATAAACCCCCACCCTGATTTGTGGGGGTGGGCCTAATATGTCTAATTAGGACTCCGCCCACTCCGTCCCACCTGGCTGCTGCAATGGGGTAGGAGGCCGTGTGGTACATTGCGCCATTGCCGCCACAATGAGGTGAGGCAGGTGGGGGAGGGGGTGGAGCTACCCCACGCACCCCACACCTGCTTCCTTCAGGCCCCTCCCAACCAGTTCATGAGACTAAAAAAAGTTCAGTCAGACATTTCAACTTTGTGAGACCTTTTTTTTTTTTTCCTGACTGAAGGTCTGACTGAACTTTTTTTAGTCTCACGAACTCCATTTCCCTGCAGCAGGAAAGAAACGTGCTAGAACTGGAAAGCAGGTTAGTGAAGATTTTTTTTGCTTCCGGGAAGAGGGAGGAACTTGGCAACGAAGTGGGCCAGCAGCCTATTGGTGCTGCTGCCACGAGGCGAGGCAGGTGTCATGGAAAATATAAGGCACCACCCTAAAGTAAGACCTAATGCCTCTTTTGTAGGCAAAAATAATATAAGACCGGGTCTTACTTCTGGGAAAACACGGTAAAATATAATAATATAATATAATATAATATAATATAATATAATATAATATAATATAATATAATATAATATAATATAATATAATATAATATAATATAATATAATATGATGTGATGTGATGTGATGTGATGTGATGTGATGTGATGTGATGTGATACAATAATACAATATAAAAATTTTAAGAGGTCTCATGTGAGAATAGAGAATTTTTTAAAGTTTGAACAAATTTGTTACATTTTAGCCATTTTAATTTTTTTAATTTTTATTTCAAAATTCAGCAATCTAATGGAATACTGATTCTTGCTATAATGGATCATAGTACTTAGCATCTTACAGTTCTTTTTAAAATAAGAAGGAACTGTTTTCTATTTTTTAAATTCTTGAAACATTATTTCATTTCTAATGGTGATAGGATTACTCTGTTTTCACACTTATTCTAGTTTATCATTAGTACAAACTTGGGACCTAGTATTCTTGGTTTTGAAGAATAAGTCCACCTTGAATTCTGTTGATCCTTATCTAGAGCCAATTTGGTTTTGTTAGTTACCTAGATTTTTGTGTATAGATAGCAATAAAAAAATCCCCTGTGCTTAAACTCAATGAATTGTCTTGGTTCTTTGCACCTGACATGCTGGATAGAGAGACAATGACTAGCTTTTACAAGCTAGGCCTAAGTTAGTTTTACAAGCTGGGCCTAAGTTTTACAAGCTGGGCCTAAGTTAGACCCAGAACTCACACTCTCCTAGTTTCTAGGCTGGCATCTTGACCACTATACCAAACTGACAAAAAGACTAAATACTGGAAAATTATATTCATTATTTTTACTTTTGAGTTAAATGTAAATTTATAAACTACATTTTTTTTATTCCAATAGCAATCACTATTTCTGAAAATGTGGCCCCATATTGCAAGTAAAATGTATTGCTCAGATCCAATTTTAGGCAGGGAGGTGGCTAAAAAATCTCCAAGAATCCCTTCCAAACTTATTATTCTATGGGTCTATGCTAACTAACCTGAAAAATATATCCACCTTTGCTTTAAGTTAGGCACAAACATTTCTTCCTTGTGTTTGAGCATCAATTATATTTGTGGATTGGTACCTAACCCTGTTCTTCAGAGTTCTTCAGAGTTCTTCCCTCTCCTACGCTCTGCTTAGGACCAGAATTTTCATTCTCTCTTCTCTTGACCAACAAGGTTGCTTTGTTTTCCTGGAAAATTTATAGACCCAGGAAAGAAATATTTGCATCCAGTAATGGCAACCAGTGGCCTTCTGGATATTGATTCAAGAATCCTTCACTATTGATCGTCTCCACTGCTTGAATTCAAAACAGGTTTCCATGTGTAATACAGACAACTTTGGTTTTTCTATTTCAGCTTTAGTATCTCATAATGACTGTTTGTTTCATAATGGTTTCATAGAAGTTGCTGATTCTGAATTTGTAATTCCGAACTTGTAATTTAAGTATTATAAAAAATACTATAAACATCTCAAGACAAGCATAAACTTTAAGCCAGCTTTTAATTTTCTTAACACAATTTGCTGTTTCCATAAGGCCTTTTCTTTCATTATTTAATGGAGAAAAAAATATAACCTCTTCTATCTCTACGTATTTCTTTTCAGTCTGTTAAAATAATCAGCTGATCTATGCTCTACTGACCCAAAATATTTATCTTTTTACCTTTTTAACATATATATGACTGCTTATATGACCTCCCAATAACCCTGACATGATGCAACCTCCCCATCACAAGACATATCACAAGATTCTCACTGATGAGTCACACCTGACCCATCACAAGATGCTCACTTGACACACCCACAGCAAAGCTCTTATAAAAAAAAGAACACTGACACTGACATCTCCTAAACTCTGCTGAAGATATTACCTAGCCTGGTAACGAAATGTTCAGAAACTAACCCACAAGCTCGGAGAATGAACTTTCACTCTCATCCTATATCCAAGCTACAGATATTTGCCACTACTGCATGACTGTTTATGCTAAAAATAAATCTACTATAATTAATTTGAAGGAGACTGATAATTTTTTTACATTATTATTGCCATTTTTGCTTAAACACAATTCCAAAATTTGTTGCGTATGCCTGGACATCTAAAGTCTGTTCACTTCTGGCCCATTTTGAAATATATACATGTTTTGAATGTCTAAGTGAATGGTATATAGTGGTATGGCAGGACTATTGTGTTTTGTAATATAGTAGATAGATATTTAGTTATATTATAATACAGCCACTACTACTTACATTTGACTAAAAACTTTTACTGATTCTTGTTGACCACAAACATTACTTTTCTTTTTTTCTCCAGATATTTCAGAAGCAACCGTGGATATTTCACTATTCTAATAGATATGTTTCATTTAAGTATACTTTTGTGATCAGTCAATATTTTGTTAAAACAAATATTCCATCATCATTTCATATATCTGACCAGACATCATCTTTCAAAACTTTCAGCTACAGTATTTCAAATTAATTCCTGTCTTGTGCATGGTAACAGCTCATAAGAATACCAGACTGAAATTTCTTGGAAAATGTTACAGTTCTTTTTTTTTTTTTTTTTTTTTTT